CCGGATGTGCATGATGAGTCCACCACGCTGCCGGGCGTCGTTGACAGTGTAGAGACTGATTTACACGGGAAGCCGGCGCAAAGCAGATCCACCTGACAATTGTGCATTGTGCATGCCCAAAGCTGTAAACTTCTGTGATGAACTTGCCTCAAAAGCAACAAATACTGTCTGTATATTATAAATTAATGTATTGTTGACTTCTTATTTCATAATACATCACTGGGCCTGGGATATTTTTTCCAACTATGAATTGAATGATCAGAACTTAGAAGGATTGAATTGGTCTTGCCTGAGGTATGGTCGCATGGCCAGGATCCCCATAGGTGCTAGCACTCTCCTTGCCCATGTCCTCCATGTTCTTGAAGATAAGCTTCTTGAACCGGGTGTGCAAATACTTCTGCTTGGGTGGGTCGTTTTCAACCATGAATTTGAGGTCCACCTGAGGCCACTGTGTTTGATTTGAATCTAGAATCTGTTATCATCGTGAAATTCCATTCAACAAGCCAGGTGTCAAAATGATTTCCAACAGCCTAGCCTTCAATTGCCATCCTTCATGTGCATCATTCCAGTGTGGTTCTAGCTCTTCAAGAACCATTTCAAGGCATCCCCACCCTGAGCAGCAACTACCAACCCGGATGTGATCTGTGTGCTGCAGGACGTTCCCCAACTTTGACCGCAGCAAAGCAAAATGGCGGTTGTGAACAAAGTTCTCCGCGAACTCTCCCACCTGAGTTGATGTCAACCCTTGGTGTTGGGGTGGTGGTGGATGCATGAAAAAAATTGAAATGAGCAAGTCTTTGTGAAGGCATGGACAAACAGGTCGAGGTGCATCTGGCGATGGGAAGGATAGAGTCCTGGACGTATCCACGATTGGTTCCCCCCCCGCTCTCAACCTCGTTTGAAGGATCATTGGTCTCATTATCCGACTCGAGCATGATGTCAGTCGCGCCGTCTGCCACACCTGACAAGCGAGGAAAGAGGCCGAACGTAGGGTAAGCTTGACTGAACTGACCTGACCTGACCTGATGCCTCCCTTCTTATGCCTTCACTTATCTTAACTGATTTGAAGAACAAGGCAACCCTAGTGTGCCTTTCTCGGCTTCAGGGTCTGATTCCATCAAGATGGCATCGTCTGGAATCTCTTCGTCCCTCCTGCGAGAGAGGGAAGTGGTCCGTGAAAAACATCACTGGGGAACCTATTTTTCTGGGCAACATCATTTCCTTCAAACGCCTCAAACCACATCTGGAAATGACAGTAAGTATCCATTGTCCTGCAAAAAATCGCTACCCAGTGCCCCATGTGTCTATATATTTATGCTTTTGGCCTGCGTTTGGCCCCAAAATGCCCCACACCATGGTTTGCAACAACCTGATCACCATTAAGTCCTCACCAACAAATTAGCACCTACAGACTTGTGACCTTGGACTCAGGAGCGCCGAAAACAAACAACATAATAATGTATGCCTCCGGTAAAAACATAATGATGGCTCGGTGAAGCAGACACACCTTTTCAAGGCCCACTGTCTGGAGGAAAGTCAACAGGCGCGTTGTCCTCGTCATTGGACTCATCACTGCTAGCATCATCACCCTCTGTGAGCTTTGGTAAAAAGACATCCAGTCTTTTGTTTCGTGCAGGGGTTACCCATGTTCCAGGGTTCCTTGCTTCGCTTCGCAAACTTGGATCGTGCCTGTATGAAAGAATGCTGTACGAAGCTGGCTTGGCATGTTGGTGCAGCGTCCCAGCGGCCCAGGACAGCAAATAGTTTGCGGCTTGCTCGGAAAGTTCCCCAGCTTGTCTCAACTTGGGCACGCGAGTCATGATGTTCTGTCTCACCTTGACTCCAATCGCTCTTCGTCCAGCCAATCCAGATGGAGCAGAGAAGCCTTGACGAAGCTTCGCTGCGGTACTGGCCGTCATGACTGCAATCACACGACTAACAGATGTATCATGCATCCATCTCTTTGTTACAAGGAACAGGTCGTTTGCATGAGGCTGGACACGACCCACATTGAAGTCCTCCACTTGTGACACGCGGCTCAAAGTCTCCGCACCGATGTCTGCACGATGACAGATGCGAAAGTAATGTACCCTTCGCATCCCGTGGATGCTCACGGCAGTCTGCGCTCCGAACTCTTTCCATCGGCTTACTTGGTCCAACTTGTAGGCCACAGCGCTGCTCAACCTGGCGTTCGAAGTGCCTGACGACTCAGCATTCCTGCTTACTCTGTTCAGGAGCTTTATCATGTCGCTTGGACAGTCAAATGTCTTGCCTCCAAATAGCCTTGCCACTTGACCAAATAGTTGGTCAATGTCTTCGTGACTGTGAGCCGTTCTCAAAAACGACATGATGGTGTATCTGAATACTCCAGTCGCAACGAGGAGGAGGTTCATTTTGAATATATATTGATTCTTCTGTTCGCGGAAGCAGTTGTCGGCCTGCGTGTGCAGGCCGAGCGGCATGGTGGAATGGTTTGAGTGCAGGTCTGACAATGATCTCATGATAATCTCGGACTGTGTCTCACTGTCTTTCTTGGTATTTTCATCTGCTATTGCGATGTATGTTTTGTAGCCATGGATCCAGCACGCCGCCAAGTGTGTAGTTGGACGGAACAAAAGCTCCTGGTTCTTGCTGATCCGCTGCCGCCCCCACTTTGGCAGCCGAAGTTTAGATTGGTCCATGCCGTCAATAATGCAGCAGCATAAACTTGACTGCCAGCTGATGTTCGTCACCAGACTGCTAGTGAAAAATGTTCTGCTCAACTGCCTGCTAGACCAATAACATTGTCGGTCGAGCCATTGGCTCAAGAGATGCCGCGTGTAATTTCTTGTGGCCTCCTTCTTTGGAGCAGCTCCTGTGGTTTTTTGATCTTGAGACGTAGATGGAAACATACAGAGCATTGTGCATGTTCATTCTTCCCTCTAAATTTCAAATGTTTGCCCATCACTCCTCTATATGTTCTCATAAACGTTGTAAACCCAGCAGGTGTTTTGCCTTCTGATTCACTGATTGCCGCGTATTGAAGGTAGAGGTCTGAAGGGGTGGACCACTCAAGATACCGCTGAGGCCCTTGAAAACTTCCAGGGCCCACGTGTGCAGCTTTCATTGGATCACATTGAAGTTCCAGATTCTGCATGAAGCTGCTGACATATCTGTCTTCAAAGTCATCTTCCATGACCACGGACTTGCTTCCAGTTTTGAATATCTCACTTGGCATGACCATCTTGGTGGGGAGAATCTCTGCGGCCGAGATGTATAAGAGCCAAAAGAAACTCAAGACATCTGGCCACTTATAGCTGGTCGTCTTGCGCCGTAGCGAGACTCCCAGTGTCGGGTGCTTGGGCTCTGCTAAACGATCTTCTCGCTTTGTGTACCCTGCCATGTGAGACCTGAGGTTTTGCAAAGCTCCAGATCCTATTGCGTAGATTCGTTTGTGAGCATGGACACAAACAGGCAGCTCCAGGATGAACAATTGTGATCCTCTTCTGGGAGTATATCGTCTCCTCTTCTGTGGGGGTTCAGGTGGTCCTCGGTCCTCCTCCGAAGATGTCTCCAAAAGCTCTGCGTCTGACTCACTGACCTGGGGCTCCCCAGCATCATTGGAATCACTGGTTTCATACAAAACTGGACCCTCATCCTCTGATTCTAAAAGTACATCAGGGGCATCAGGCTCACTTGCAGCAGATTCCTGCAAATTGAAGCGGTCTGCCAAACCAATGTTGTACCACTCACGCAGTAGCTGTTCCTTGGTTAGTGATTATGCTTGCTGGACTAAAGACAGGTCTGGACGTCTGGAGAACAATCATTCAGAACAACCATGGATGGAGAAAAAACCGAGACCTTGACATAATAAGTAACAAAACAAATCCTGAATCAACATCCCAAACCTGCAATAAAACAACAGGCGTCCTTACGCTGATCGCTCAGCCCATTAAAGTCTTTGCGAAGGTTTGCCAGTTGCTGCTCTCGGCCTCGAAATTGCTGGAAGCATTTCCCATGAGAACAACTGCATCGGGTAGCCATCAGCTTGCTCAGCTCCGTTGAAGGCGGCATTGCAAAGTACAACCCAGTAAAAAGTTGTTAGGAACTGTGGATTAGTTGGTTTGCTATTTGCAATTCCTCAGTCCTCAACCAGTTGGTTTTGCAACGCTTGCAATCTTTAATTACTAATTAATATATTGAAACAACTACTATTCATTCCCCATTTGATGTATTGTGTGTCACGCTGAGAAAGGCCAACGGTCACACAACGATGCCATGCTTCCTCATCCCATCTCCCAGCGGCCCTTTCCAATCACAACTCCCAGCGACCCTTGCAGTCCTTTGAGAAGGTCGCTTCATGCAAGCCGCTGGACGTTTGCACGCTGGTCTCTTCATGGCAAGGAATTGAACCACCCTTCAAACAAAATGGCTGCACACACTCCCAATCAAGACAACTTCAAAGAACCAGGACTTGTGAAAGGTCCGTTTTTTGCGGAAGTTTGTTATATATAATTATGTATATATATTATCTGACAATATATACCTAGAAATTTGACCTCTGTTTTGATAGGACAAGACCATATTTGGGGTGGTTGGTGGTCCAAAATAGAGGTCCCTCAGGTTCTAGGCTTGGTTATATATATATATATAATATTATATATGTAGAGAGAGAGAGAGACTACAAACTCTCAATACATAAAGCCCCATCCAGGCCTGGAGCTTACATAGTCTACTTGAGAGAGGAGGGGGGTGAACGAAAGGTAGCAGGCAATCACAAGTAACCCTGGTAGAAGTCCATGACGGCGTGAACCGGCGCAGGGGTGATTTGATCCAGGGGGGAGGGGGGGGGCACGGGGGGCCCCCCCCCCCC